GTGAAATTTGCAGAGAATGTGAAGGAACCGAAAGGAAACGGTGAAGAGTATCGTCGTAAGAAGGAATATAACCGGAGAATTGTACAAGAACCGATGAAGAAACCGGAGAAAACCGGTTTGGTTTGTAGAAATGATATGCCTGCAAACCGGATTGCTCTGTATAATGGGATTCTTAGAGACAGAGATCATAGACTTCAGTGTTCATATTGACTTTTTTCTTCTTTTTTACTCAAAAAGTGAAGAAAAAAGTGGTTTTTTTTTTTAATTTCGGGTGAAAATAATTTTATAGGGTAAAATTCTTGTAAATAACTTTTTTTGTGGGTCTATATATGTCTGTAATTTTCTTCTTGAAAGTCATCCATGTAAATGATTGATCATCTAAAATAGAGTTTTTAGTGATAGGAAAAGGGTAAAACCTAAAATATTCTCTTTTTTACATTTGATTATTATGAATTTCTCGTAAAAAAAACATTTATTAGGGAAAATATGATCTTAATCAAGTGGTATTAAAGTGCGAAAAATAATTTAGATAGAAAAATATACTGTAACTTTTAATTTGAAAAATAATCATTGTGATCACGGCCTATCCCCTCCTATGTAACAATGAAATAATAAGAAAATGGTGATACGGAAAAATTATCATAATGTCATTTTTTTAAAAACTATAATAATGTCATTTTTACCATTAAATTTTATTGTTTTCAATTATAGTGTCATTTCGTACTCTATTTTGTATTGCAAAAAATGTTATACCATTTTATGTGATATGTACAACGTCCAAAGTTTTTTTTTGTTGTGATTATGTACAACGTCCAAAGTTTCACGATTAAGTGTGTTACTCTTTAGTAATTTCATGTGAAAACTTTTTTTTTGTTGGTGAAAATGTTTAAACACATTGATATGTATTCAATAAAGTGTTACAATAGTATGTTTTTTAATCTCTCTCAACCTTTTGCATAAAGTGAAGCATAGTGTAAGCATGTGTGTGAATATTCCGAATATTCGACCAATGAGTACTCGACATACATACATAATCAGTGATTTAACTTTAGTCCTAATTAGCACATCATAACAATATAAAAAATTAGGGCTTCAATAGAAAACACATTTGACATGTGAGTTGATCCATGGTTAGTATGCTTTTTAAAATCGACTGGATAAAAGAATATATCTACTATTTTTTATTAACAATGAGAGACAGAAAAATACAAGATTAGCAATTATATTTTTTTTTTGGGTTTTAAGCAATTATATATTAATGGTCAAGAAGCCAGATTTTGGCCAAAATCAATTTTATAACTCAGTACTCTCCACATGTAGGGTTTGGTGAACCGGACCAAACCAAAGTGGGCCACTAAAACGAAACAAACCGGCGGTCCAAATTGCAAACTTTGCTGGTAGAGCCGAACCACGTGATGGTCCACCAAAAAAAAATACTTTTCGTGTCTAGTAGTTTATTTTTCAGATTAAAGTATTGTAATTAACTATGTTAAATCATAAGTCTATGTTTTATGCATATACCACTAAATCGGTAGTTGAATGATGACCGGTTTTTTTAACATAGATAATGAATGGTTTCCAATTCAAAAAACTATCAAACATAATAAGTTGTGGTCTATGATTTTCTTTTATTGTATGAATAAATAAATAATAAACATATTTATATAGGCTCAATTATGTACAATTTTTATTAGAAAAAGAATCATAACAAATGGATATATTTGTAAAATATACCAAAAATAACTAATTACGAGTTCAATTGGCGATTAAAGCGGTATAATTTTTTGACGATTAGAAAGGACAATTATAGAACTGTTAAAACCTATAAAAAAATAACAATACAAAAAACGATTAAGAACTAAATGTACCGTTTTTTATATTGATTTTATAATTAGTAACAATAAAAATATATAGTATTTTGGTGGTACAAATATCAATCAAACCTTTTAAGTTTTTTTTTTTCTCACAAGAAGCTTACCCACTAACCGTTACCTAACTTACCATTCATTACCTTTTGAGGTATTTAATGTTAAATGTAAAAGGACAATAAAACAGAAATACTGAGACATCCTTCGCTGTTTCACCGATGTAACCTGGAATCGGGAGATAAAGAGAGCTGGGCTAGGATAGCTCTTTCGGGATGCAGCGGATCAAACTCTCCTCTCACAAACGTATCCTCACCATTAATGACGCAAGCCCTCGCCGTCAGAAAAGCGCTCCTCCATGCGGTATCATGAGATCTGCACTCCTTCCACCTCTTATCAGATTCACAAAGATTGATCAATCTGATCAACTCAAAGAATCAAAATCTCGAGATCTTTAGTATTTTAAAGGACATCTCACATCTAGCTTATGTTCTGAATATAGTGTTTTTTCAATTTGTGAAAATGCCACAAAACTCTGAGGCAGATGGTTTATCAAAATCATGTCTAAACTATATACCAATTCTACCGATTTAAACCGGCTATACGCAATCAATTTCTTTTGACCAAGAAAAAAAAAGGATAAGGTCGGTCCAAAAGCTAATAATTCGACAATACTCTGGACACATGGCTTTTTATGTCGTTACCGGTCCCATTTTATTTCTTACAAAATTCATAAACGGTTTTTAAAATGGAAAGCATTGTATTGTAGTTGTAAAGGTAAAGCATGGTTCATGCCTTGGCACAATTATTTGCATTTTATCCCGTGGATTGATACAATTTGTATCATACAAACCAAGATGAAAAAGCAAGCTCTATTAAATTGTTAGTAATTTCTGATCTTAAGAATAGAGTTTTGAACCATGCTGTATTAAAAGCAAGCTTTTTTTACAACAAAAAAAAACAAAAAAGAGTTTTGAAACCGGTTATAGATTAGAGTTCTGATTAATAAGATGAAATAACAATTTCTCGATTTGTTTTGGTGGTTTTATATTTTTCAACATCCGAACGAAGCCGTACCATTGTTAGATTTAATTCGGCAGGTTTAGCCCAAAGTGAATAACCAAAAATGTCTGAATCGATTTGATCGTGTTTTTTCGATATTTAAAATTGATTTTTTATACATTGAATCATGCATTGAATCAATTGTTTGGACATTTCAATATTCTGTAAAATCGGGCAAGATCACCAAAAGAACCGGATTGGACCATAAAGCGGATATATATTCGGATTGAGTTATCACACTGAATTGAATTGGTAGAAATCCGGAAACGAATCAATTAGATCAAATTAAATCGGATTTAGTTATTAAATAGTATAAAAAATAAACTAATAAATTATTTTTTTAACTATAGGTATACTTCTAATCTTTTAATAAAGATTAAAGTGTTTTGATTGATATTTGGATATTATAGTCATAAAATATAAAGAAAAAATATATAAACCAAATATACTACTCTCCTTATCCTATTTTATAAGATTTTCTAGTTGAATGCACAAATATTAAGAAACCATTAAAAACACTATTTATTATTTTACTAAAAATATTTTAACCAATAGAAAATATACTGCAGAATATAAATGGTAATAATATATTTAATTAATAAAAATTTGGGACAACTGCAAAAATACCATTTTTGGTGTATACATTTGCAAGAATGCCACTTAGAAGTGTCTATTTAGAAAATACCACTAGTTATAGATTTTTAAAACTTAAATCTTTAAATTATAAATTCTAAAAAATGTTATGATCCCTAAAATCTTTTAAAACCTCAAAACTAAATCATAATACAACATACTTAATCCAAACATAAATGATATAATAAAATTTTTTGTTGAAAAAATAGCATTTTTATAAAGATTTTGAAAATGTGGGCATTTCTAAAAAGTGACATTTAAAAAATGATATTTTTTAAAAAATTTCTAAAAATTTTGCATAAAAACATGGGAAAATCAAATAAAATAGAACAAATAATTTTTTCTAAAACATCTAACAAAATAAAACAGAGGGAATAGAATTTTCAAAATATTATAATTCGGTTGAACCAAATTGATGTACGACCCAAATGATTTTAGGGCAATTAC